CTATTATCTGTGGTTTGTAACCTCTCCTTTAAATCGGCTTCCGTACCTAATGACTGGAAGGGAGCCCACGTGACACCAATATTTAAAAAGGGCTCTAGATGCGATCCTGGCAATTACAGACCGGTAAGTCTAACTTCAGTACCGGGCAAATTAGTCGAAACAATAGTAAAGAATAAAATTGTGAAGCATGTAGAAGAACATAATTTGTTGGACAAAAGTCAACATGGTTTCTGTAAAGGGAAATCCTGTCTTACTAATCTGTTAGAGTTCTTTGAAGGGGTTAACAAACATGCGGACAAGGGGGATCCAGTAGATATAGTATACTTGGATTTTCAGAAAGCCTTTGACAAGGTCCCTCATCAAAGGCTCTTGTGTAAATTACATGGCCATGGGATAAGAGGGAAGGTCCTTTCTTGGATTGAGAACTGGTTAAAAGACAGGAAACAAAGGGTAGGAATAAATGGTAAATTTTCAGATTGGAGAGGGGTAACTAGTGGTGTACCCCAAGGGTCAGTCCTGGGACCAATTCTTTTCAACTTATTCATAAATGATCTGGAGAAAGGGGTAAGCAGTGAGGTAGTAAAGTTTGCAGATGATACCAAACTGTTTAGGATAGTCAAGACAGAAGCAGACTGTGAGGGACTCCAAGAAGATCTCACCAAACTGAGTGATTGGGCAACAAAATGGCAAATGAAATTTAATGTGGATAAGTGTAAAGTAATGCACATCAGGAAAAATAACCCCAACTATACGTACAGTATGATGGGGGCTAATTTGGCCACGACAAATCAGGAAAGAGATCTTGGAGTTATCGTGGACAGTTCTCTGAAAACTTCCACACAGTGTGCAGCGGCGGTCAAAAAGGCAAATAGGATGCTAGGAATTATTAGGAAAGGGATAGAAAATAAGACCCAGAATATCTTACTGCCCCTGTATAAAACTATGGTACGCCCACATCTTGAATACTGTGTACAGATGTGGTCTCCTCACCTCAAAAAAGATATTTTGGCCTTGGAAAGGGTTCAGAAAAGGGCAACTAAAATGATTAGGGGTTTGGAACGGGTCCCATATGAGGAGAGGTTAAAGCGACTGGGACTTTTCAGTTTAGAAAGAGGAGACTGGGGGGGGGATATGATAGAGGTATATAAAATCATGAGTGGTGTGGAGAGGGCAGATAAAGAAAAGTTATTTATTAGTTCCCTAAATAGAAGAACTAGAGGACACCAAATGAAATTAATGGGTAGCAAGTTTAAAACTAATAAAATAAAGTTCTTCTTCACATAGCGTGTAGTCAACCTGTAGAACTCCTTGCCAGAGGAGGCTGTGAAGGCTAGGACTATAATAGATTTTAAAGAGAAGCTAGATAATTTCATGGAGGTTAGGTCCATAAAAGGCTATTAGCCAGGGGATAAAATGGTGTCCTTGGCTGGAGAGGGATGGCAGGAGACAAATTGCTTAATCATTGTCTTCGGTCCACCCTCTGGTGCACCTGGTGCTGGCCACTGTCCGCAGACAGCATGCTGGGCTAGATGGACCTTGGGTCTGACCCAGTACGACTGTTTTTATGAAATTAATGGGTAGAAAGTTTAAAACTAATAAAATAAAGTTCTTCTTCACATAGCGTGTAGTCAACCTGTAGAACTCCTTGCCAGAGGAGGCTGTGAAGGCTAGGACTATAACAGAGTTTTAAAAAGAGTAGATAAATTCATGGAGGTTTGGTCCATAAAAGGCTATTAGCCAGGGAGTAAGGAATGGTGCCCCTGATCTCTGTGTGTCAAAGGCTGGAGAAGGATGGCAGGAGACAAATCACTTGATCATTATCTTCGGTCCACTTCCTCTGGGGCACCTGACACGGGCCACTGTCGGCTGACAGGATACTGGGCTAGATGGACCTTTGATCTGACCCACGATGTCCATTCTAGTGTTCTTAAAGCATTTATCAATTGTAAGTATTGTTCAGATACTTAAAACAGGATTAGGCCTGGAATCCTCAAACAGCTGCTTTCAACTGAACAAGCAAGCAAGTAGCATGTGGCTCCAGTCATTCCCTGCTCTCTTTTACGTCTTACAATAAACAATATCTGACATCACAGATTAGGTATTCACCTTTGTCAAAACTGGTTTAGAACAATGCTTGACCAGTTTGTTGGCAATTGCATAGGGACTTCAAGGACTTCCCTTATGCTATTTCACTCGTCTCTATTATCTCTGCAAATTACCCAGGAACACCTCCTCCCATTCATCCACCATTCCTTGCAACAAAGGCTCTTAAGTTTCATTTCTCTAAGTTTTGGTTTTCTTTTTCCTAATAAAGCATGCTTTAGGAGGTTTCATTTCTTAATTCTCAGCAACCCTATGTAATGAAAGGAAGATGGAAAGAGATACAAAGGAGAAGAAAGTAGAGACTGATATAAAGGGGAAAAAAAAGGCAACTTACATTCAAAATCAAGCCCTCCCATACTAAAACTATGGCAAAAGAAACATCATCGCTAAAAGTTAAGCATCGGCTTAAAAACGAAGTAATTTAGAGGCATCTAAATTACACAGCACTTACTTACAGTATATCTTCACGTGTATATCTCCTTATTCTCACTACATTTTTCATTATTACGGTCCCTAATTTTATTCCCAATTAAGAAAAAAGTTTAAAAATAATCACCTTTTGCTATACGTCTTATGAATATGCAAATTTCAGAAGTTTTAAACATGCCTTTTTTTTTTTTTTTACTGATCTGATGATTTTTTTTCCCCTCCCCTAGTTGTGTCTGCTCTGAATAAGGCATGGTGTGTGAACTGTTTCGCTTGTTCCACTTGCAACACTAAGTTAACACTCAAGTAAGTTTATCACATAGTTTAAGATGGAAAACAGTTGTGATCTCTTCAAAACAGATCAATAGTCATATTTTAACTGTAATAGTATAGGACATGTATAGACTTCTTGAAAATGACATATGTGTTACTACTTTAAAATCTGTTTTTGCTATGTGTTCATTTCTTCTTTCAGCTAAGACTCATTTTTAACTCTTTTCATGTTCTTTCCACTGTTTCCTCTGTGCCTTATCTAAAGGGATAAGTTTGTTGAAATTGATCTAAAACCTGTCTGCAAACACTGTTATGAGAAAATGCCAGAAGAATTTAAGCGTCGACTTGCCAAACGAGAGCGAGAAGCAAAGGATAAAGACAAGCTGAAAAAGAAAAAGCCAGTCTGTTTGTAAACTTTTCTTTTCCTCCTATCACCATCTCTGCTTCTTTCTTCTTTGGTCAGTGTTTAGGACATGTATGTGACTTTTAGTTTTCTGCATGTATCTGTAATAATCAGTGAAAGAACAACTCTTAATTTCCACATATCTATGATTTGAAATCTCGAGCACTTAAGTTTTAATATGTTAAGTTTAGGACGTGCTCAGAATTGAGTTTGCAAGGTTTCTTAAACAGCAAAATTCATAAATTTATATTTCTGGGAGAAAAATTCTTACCCCATTGAACAGACTATTTTAATATCTGACTACTGTGTAGCTATGATTTCATTCCAGCTTCCCAAATTGCCTACATTTTGTGTGTATAGTTCATTACATATGACAGTAGGTCATTTGTACATGCAGCTAACCACCAACCTAACTGCATGCTCAAATGCAGGATTATGCACAGAAAAATCAGATATGCAGATTTAGAAGCTAGTGGTGAAAATACTCTTAGTGAATGCTTTGTATTTCCATTTTAACATCTCACACAAGATTTTAAGCTAATATAAAATGCCAGTACCCAAAAATAATAATGTATTCCAAGTACATTGTCTTGTTTTAAGATTTTTTTCCACTAATGTTAATATTTTGCTCATTTTTTAAATTGCTGTATCAGAACAGCACTCAGACATTTTACTGTAATTCAGTAGCAGACAGGACTATGCAAGTCCACATATTGCAAACTCTGTCTGAAAGCCTCCTGAATAGTAATTGGCTTGTTTTTTTTACAGTTCATACAGAGTTTATATATATTTTATTTGAATTCTTCAAAAGTTATTTATAATTAGAAGGTTTTTTTATTTTTTTTAAATAAAGTTTATAATTCACATTGAACTATCTGAGTCTCTTGTTCCAACCCATTATATTGCTGCAAAGGGACATTTCAACTTATGGACTTCCATGACATATCAGAAAATCATGCCCAATATGAATTGATTAACAAAGAGTTTTACTGTTTAAATATTGGAAAGACTTGTTAAAATATCAGTCAACTTGAAAATTAAATTTCTATATGAAAATATAGTATGTAGTTTTAAATAACGAGATTACTGCATTTGAAAGAAGTACTTTTTTTTTGTTTTTCCAGTTTACTGTGCATTTGACTGAAGTTCCTATTTTATTGTTTTGCTGATATAGTGGCATTTCCTATCTTGTAAGCAGACTTATCCATATTGCCTTCTATAGGGATTCTTCCTCTTGCCACAGAAACAGCACATACTTGCAGCTGTTAGACAGGATACTTAACTATATATCCACTGCTTGAACGTAGTATGGAAATTCATAGCATCTTTTGCACAGCTGCCCTTGCTTATACCCACATTGGACATCTATTTCTAGGTCCATAACACTGGGTCTCCATAAACATCTGAAAATGTAGTCTGTATCTTTCATGTTAGGTTTACAATTCAGTGGTTGCACAACATACAGTATTGCATAAAACAAAATTTTCCTCAGTAGTCAGAAGTTCTCTTTTTGTTTTCCTGTACGGTTGTTTCCTTCACTTCAGCCTTTGACTTTCATGTCTCTTTCACATAAATATTAACTTTATGTGCAGTGACTGGTCCTCTGTTTTTCAAAACCCAAATCTCAGCTTAAGCAAATTCATCTGTACTGTTAACTTGTCACGGTTTTAAAAAAAATCAGAAGTCTTCTGAATTTGTTTTACTTCCTGCATGACGGCACCCAATGACAAAGTTGGATACTGCTAACAAATATAGTTGTATGTATCATTAAAAAATAGATTCAGGGATACATCTACATTTATTGATTTGCTATATCATTTATCAGCTTAGAGCTTTTTTAATATTCAGCAAACATACTGAAAAAGCATCATTTTGCTGCTTATACCACGTCAATATGGTATGCTACACATACTCTTTGAAATCTCTTCCACTAAATATATTTCCTTTATCATTTTTAGGAACAAATTTGTTGAATTTGATATGAAGCCTGTCTGCAAGAAATGCTATGAGAAGTTTCCTCTGGAGTTGAAGAAAAGATTGAAGAAACTAGCTGAAACTTTAGGGAGGAAGTAAAGCCTCCTTCTAATCTCCTGTTCCTGGAAAAAAAATAGAAAATATTACAGATATTACTTGACTTTCATTTTATTTTTCTTTGAGGCTGCAATCTGCGATACACAAGCAAAGAAAATTAGTTTCCTTGATGCATGACTAGCTTCATACTAAAGTACTTTCCTCTTTTCTCTCTCAAAACATGCATCTAAAAACCCTCTCTACATTTTATATAACTTGTAACTAACACAAGCAAAATATATCTTCAGTTCTGTATTGGATATATACATTTATACATATCTGTTGATCTGTATATTGTACTTGTATAGTAAACTGCAAATACAAATTCATTGTAAACTCTTTTACGGCTCTGGTCCTAGAGTTGAATCTGCTTTATAGCCACAAATTTCAGTGAGATTCTGTGGAGACCTAAAATCTGCTTGTGCATTTCCTGCAATGACTTCACAAATAAACCTTGCTTTCTGTACACAAATAGTGCCATTGAAGTTAAGGGTAATACTTGTGCATAGAATTCAGCATGTAATCTTTAAATGATGTAGCATCACTTTTTATGGAACTATTCATTTTTAGATTCAGATCCAAGTAATCATTATGAAGCCTTATTTTAAATGCCTCTGAAGTCAAACTTCTAAGTGCAACCACTGCAAAAGTGTAGTGCCTTTAATAGATAAATATTACATAATTAATTTTTGTATATTAGATTTTAAAGTTGTAATGGAAATATAGAAAATATATTCCTGTTGCAAGAAATATCCATATTCAGAACTACCGGAATTTTGTTATGTTCCATTTAAAATAATCCAGTAACGTGAGTGTATTTGTATTTTACTTACATTTTGTGCCTTATTTTTCTGTACCTTTCACAACAGTATTCAAAAAAGGATGCATTAAATATATATACAGTTTTATTTTTATTTTATATTCTTATGCAGAAAATGTATACCAGGTATTATAAAACATAATATGCTTTAACTACTTCACTTCTATAGGATGTATGACGTTTGTTTTCTTTAAATATTGAGAACACTTGAATTTTAAAAAATACATTGTTGTTTCTTGGCTGAATTATTTTTTTAATAGTACCTACAATAATTCACTCTCATGTCATACATCAGTGAGTGTATGTATAAATGGTCTATGCTAGAAGGTGCTGAGCACCTACAATTGAGCACCTAAAATGTCAGCCTTGAAGGACTGGGTCCAAACTGATGAGAATTCACTATAACATGCTTCTAAGTCTTATATTATTCATTAATAGTCATAAAGAATCTAGGGCTTTTCCCCCTTTCTTTATAAAGGTGCAGTAGTATGGCAAATTAATAAAACATTTTTTTTCATTTAATATAGCAGCCTACATAGATTGTATAGGTTATGCTTTACAAACTACAGTTTCATTTCATATCTTTTAAGAAAATATATCTCTTGGTTTAAAAGCTAAGCTTTCCAGTGTGATCAATAAAGACTACACAATTATATCCTGTTTGACTTTTTCTTAAAGGGATGTTTGGTGGTGAGGGACCCTGTATTTGTTCTCTTTACACAGAATACAGTCCAGTTTCTGTTGTATTATGGAACTGTCAGAAGTGACTCCATAGTTTAGGGTGTATTTCCCTTACTGTACTTTTCGCTTAACACAGATCCTACTTTAATTTAGGCTTTAAATGTGTCGGTACAATTCAGTGGATAACTGAATTGTAAAGGAAATGTTTAGAATAAAATACCTGCTAACTTTTCCTAGACAAAAACATTTAAAATAACCCAGTTTTGAAATTTACCTCTGTCACACTCCCTCTACCCCCATACAACAGACAACCACTCATCACACATTTTCACATTAGTACATAGGTCATGTTTAATACATAACAATTATGCAGAATAAGTTTATCTTCCTTACTTGTTATAACAAACACTAGAAGAGACCAAGGAACTTCAGAGAGCCCAAATAAAGCTAGTGAATTGCTAACACGATCCCATGTGAATTTCACTGAGGACAAATGCAAAGCAATGAACATTGAAAAATATGATAAAGCCATACACTTAATGAGTTCTATCAGGAAAAAGTCTAAGGACACTTGTGTGGCAGCAGTGCTGTGTAACTGTTATATGTACATAACTTACTCTTACTTGCAATTTAGTTCTAGTCAGTTTTTAACCTGCTAAGATCTATCCATCAATTACAATGGGTTGCATGTGGGTTGCTTAGTGACAGCACCAGACCTGTCAGTCACTGGCTGCTGAAGAATGCCCCTTTCCTTTAAGTTCCATCTTGTTTTATTTACACCTGCCCTCAGGATCCTGTTAACATTTAACTGGTTAAATTGATTAAGCAGGATTTTACATTCCTACCCTGGACATACTTGGTAGTTGAGGAAGAATTAAAAGTACAGTTTTGCTGATCAGGGTGCTATACAGAATGAAACATTGTGACACAGTTTCTGAAGTAGCTTCAATTCATGATAAACACATAATAATGGTTCCAGGTAGTCCATCAGTAGGCTTGTTCTGAGGCTTAATCCTACTAGATATAAATTCTAATATCAGAAGAGTATTAACTGAAGATGATCAGTGTAATACAACACATGACATCACAGAAATAAAAAATGATTAGGAAAGCTGATCTGCACAAACATGCTTTTGGGACACAAAGTTCATGAGCGCTACCCTGCACTCTTAGGGTGCAGAAGGGGGAGAGGGTGGGAAGTAGGGTGCACAGACAGGCTGGGGGTAGGGTCTCTGGCCAGAAGGGAGGGTGCAGGAGGGGACTTGGGGCAGGGTGTCTGGCCAGGAGGGAGGGTAGAGGAGAGGCTGGCAGCAGTGTTTGGGAGCCCTCACCTCTGAGTTCATGTATTGAGTGTAATGGGGGCGAAGGTAGGGCGGTGACAGAAAGGCGCAGCGCTGGGCGGGGAAGAGGGGTGTTATGTGCACGACCCCCGCCCTACAGCCTCCCTGCCCAGGCGTCTGTCCACCTGGTTTTACAAACCTCCCATGGAGCCGCCACGCCCCCCCTGCACAGTCCGACTGTCCTCAATGCTCAACGTTTCCCCGCCCGCACCCGCCTTGCGGCAGCGAGCGCCGGTGCCGCCC